ATAGTATAATATATATTATAATGGCGTCGAAAAGAAACTTGAATATATAATCTAATCATCCAATCATCGTGTTGAAGCCTTGAGCTACTCATTCAGCATACCAATTTTAAGCTAAATACATTCTGCATTATTTCACACACTAATCTTTTATCTATGTTAAGAAACGCTCGAGATATTGTCACTCTCAACAGACCTGAAAAACCAGGCCTGGCAAAATAGTGCGAAATCAAATAAACGTAAAAAATGTTTACAAGTGTATTTGAGGTGCATCAACATTGGTGGAATGGACATGCATTGAATATCAAATGAAAAGGAAGTATAATTGTCTCTGCAATGAACAGATTCTTCTGATGATATTTTCAAACATATTGGAAAACAGAGCAGTCTCAAATACCAAGCGAAACATAGACTTAACTGCACATGACAATGTGCTGATTAGTATACTTTTTGTTTTTGAAAAGGAGCTATTGATTTCGTGTAGAGCAACCTTTTTTTGCACACGGACTGTGTCAATTCGATTATGGACGTAATCATCTGTCAGTGAGGACCAGAGACCACGAAACTGCCATAATTTTGGGTGGTCTGTGCTGGAATGAACGAAACTGGCCTCGAAAGAATCACCGGACGGCTTAGTTTAGTGGACTATATCCCGGAAGTGCTGGAACGTCTTGTCTTACACTTATATTCCATATTCTGTCATTGAAGTAGACATCTCCATGCTTGACAAAGCACTTTCTCTCAGGAACAATGCAACTAGACAACTTTTGGGAAACCAAATCATATCAACGTTGGAGTGGTCACCAGTAAATAGCCCCAATACGAATCCTACAGGTATGGGAAGCGCCATGAAACAGCAACTGAAGAAAAGAGACTTTGCTCCCAATTCAGGCCTCTTTGTTTGCAACTCTCTGTGACATTTTACATGAAATGACAGATACTAATGTCCAAATTTAACAGAGTTGATGCTCAAAGGGTTTGTGCCTTACACTAAACCAGCGGCTCCAAAGCAAAATCAAATGAGCACTTTTATTGTCCAGTCAAAGTTTTGTGTGGTATTTGTAATCGATCTGTTTTCCGTTTTGTTTAAAACTATAGAATCTAGTGATAAGATTCTGATGCACGAAGACACCTTTCCTTTGATTTTGCACTATTTTACAGTCTGCTTTTTAAAGGTCAATTTTGGGTGACCTAATCTCCAGCAACTCTTACCAAAGATAAAATTTTAATATCAACGTGCCAGATGATGCAGAATTTATACAAGCTTCAATTTGGTATGCTGCATGAGCTGGGAGTACAAGAGCATAATGCAATGCTTGGGTGATTCAATTTTTTTGGGACGCCACTGTATATTATATATATATATATATATATATATATATATATATATATATATATATATATATATATATATATATATATATATATAAAATAACAAATTTTATAGCACTTGTGTAGTGTACCGCATACTCCCGCTCAACAGCAAGCTCTATACACACACTATTCAGGTGATGCAGGATGAATTTTCCTTTTCATAAGGCAACGTAGATAGACACAAAGATGCACACACACATACACACACACACACACACACACACACACACACACACACACATATGCACACACACACACACACAAACACACAACTACGCTCACACATTTAAAACAATAGCAACACGTAAAATAAAGACAGCCTTTGTATTGGAATTTGATGGCGAGAAGCATAGTACACGAATGTGTATTGTATCGGAATGCCCAATCCTCAAGCAATGACGTGCGTGTTAGCGTGGGCACCATTACCAAAGATAGTACATAACAAGATTGTTCACTCCTCTCTTTGAGCCAATAAAAAAAAAAAATCCGGTGGCGCCCTCTTCGAAAAAGCTCACCCTTTGTGAACAGAGTTACCCTACTTGTGTGAAAAAAAAATCAAAGTGAAACTAACAAGTTTCTGAATAAATTACATTTCAAATTTCGGAAGAAAGTTTTTTTTAATTATAGTTACGCTGACAAAAAAAACCTCTTCCGGTGAAGGAAGCGACTGTTTTCTTCATTTAATTTGACTTTAGAATGAGAAGCAAGAGGTAATAAACAACAACAACAACAACAACAACAACAACAACAACAACAACAACAACAACAACAACAACTAAAACTCCGCACGGAACGAACCTGAACAGCTGAAGAATGGCAGTCGAATGCTATTCCTATTCTTTTTCTGGAAAAACGAAAAAGAGCTTTAAAACAAAGACTGCGCCATCTGAAGCGTTGAGCGGACTTCCGTGGAGACTTTTTTGGATGAGTGAACCATCTTGTTATGTATTATATTTGCCATTACTCACCAAACTTGCACAGATGCATGACATGTAGAGTAGAATGTTGTAACGCAAATTATGAATACGGATCATTGTTAGTGTGTCTCGATTTGTCTGCCGGGCTCTTTCACATGTCTTCCTGTTTCATAAACAAACAGCTCATGATAATTATGATAATGATAGCGGCGTACTACTACTACTACTACTACTACTACTACTACTACTACTACTACTACTACTACTACCACTACTACTACTACTACTACTACTACTACTACTACTAATAGTAGTAGTGGTATTTTAAGAATGATGATAATAGTGATAATAATAATGAAAATAATGACGATAACGACAACGAATATATGACTATGATGATGGTGTTGATGAAGAAGAAGAAGAAGAAGAAGAAGAAGAAGAAGAAGAAGAAGAAGAAGACGAAGAAGAAGACGAAGAAGAAGAAGAAGAAGAAGAAGAAGAAGAAGAAGAAGAAGAAGAAGAAGAAGAAGAAGAAGAAGAAGAAGAAGAAGAAGAAGAAGAAGAAGAAGAAGAAAAAGAAGAAGAAGAAGAAAAAGAAGAAGAAGAAGAAGAAGAAGAAGAAGAAGAAGAAGAAGAAGAAGAAGAAGAAGAAGAAGAAGAAGAAGAAGAAGAAGAAGAAGAAGAAGAAGAAGAAGAAGAAGAAGATTGTTCATGTACGAGACTATTGAATAGTCACATTAATATAAAGGTTTGGCGGGCAGGCTTTCGCGTTTCAACTTGAGATAAAAACATGTTTTGAAAATGCTTGTTTTTCTCCCCTTCTTCGTTTTACCCCTTTGTTTTGTTCGTCTTATAGTTTTGATTCTAGAGATATTCCAATTCTCTTTTAGGCACTAATTTGTATTTCTATATATTATGAAGTTTCAGCCTCTCATCCCGTTTACCCGCAAAATATGCTGTTTTGCTTTTTACAGCCGTTTTTCTACCACACCTTTCATTTAACTGTGCTCTTAATTTTTTTGATCTCTTACTCCTATGCCTTTAATTCCCCCCCCCCCCCCCCCCCTTTCTCTTAACTTGGTCAACAATTTTTGCGGTCGAGCTTTTCATCATCTTTTTTCCAGCATCTTATTTTTACAATAAAAAAAAAGAAAAGAAAGAAATCCGGTAATATGCACCAAGATAGCACATTACATGCTTACGACAGGATTTTCAAACTCGCTGCCGCTAGTCAATTGAGGCCAGCAGGGCGATATTTTGCAGGCCCTGTTTTGACATTAAAGTTTGATGTTATGTGGCAGTCAATTTTTGAATGAATTGACCCACACCTTTCCTGAGCTTGCCAGCAAGTATCAAGTACTCATGTGCCCTTTTGGTAGCACATGTCTGTGAGAAGAGCTCTTCTCCACCATGAAGTCAAAGTTACTAATGATAAAAAATTACTAATGAGTACCTTCAAAAACCATACTTAGGGTCTCACTTGCTTCATCCTTC